GAGGTCATCTGTTTTTGAGAGATTCCACATGAAAAAGATGTATGAAAATACCTAGAATTTTAGCAAGCCCTATCTCAAGCTTCAGCATGACAAGACTGTGGAGTTTTCCACCTTATAAAGTATTAATAAAGATAAAAAAAGAATGAGAAGCATGGGAGTGGTATTAGATTTTTCCTGGAGTGAGAATTACGTTTTTTTTCCTTCTCTCTCTCCCACAGCCAGCATTGTTACTGTTTTTTTTTTTTTTTTTTTTTTTAATACTCCTGTTTGTACTTGATTAACCTGAACTCCACCATAAATTTGATATAGTAACAGTTTCCTTGACTACACTCCCTCTGGGGCAAGACTAAGTTTGAGCTTGAAAATTATTATTGCTGCAGTTTTTCTTTCCAAGCCTTCAGTGTGGTAAGTGCAACAAGAGTGGCACACACAGAGCAACGCTCTCATTTATGGAAGAAGAGATCAAATTTACTAAATAAACAAAATGAGGCTTTCTGGAGCCTAAGATAGGTTCTATTAAATGCTAGCATCTGCCCCAGGAGACGGCACTCGCAGTGTCTGAGAAGTTCATGGTCGAGGGGTAGTTAATTAAAACCGTGATGAGGCGGCGACGCTGCCGCCCTGAGCGCAGTTTTTTCCTCACAGCTTTTCCCGCCGCGGCCACGTGACGTAGCCGCCCGCGCTCGGTACCATGGCAACGCCCCCGTCACGTGGCTGCCCCTGCCTCCCGCCCTCCCCGGCGAAGATGGCGGCGCCCGTGGGGCCGGTGAAGTTCTGGAGGCCGGGTGAGGCCTCGGGGGCGCTTGGGCACGCGAAAAGCGGATTCCCTGTCGTGGGGGGCGGCCAGGCAGGCTGCCCGCCCGGGCGGCAGCGTCCTCACGGCCCTGAGCCGCCCCGTGTAGCGGCAGGGAGAAGGGGGCCTTTCCGTGCAGTGACCCTCCCCATGGCGGGAGGGGAGGGCAGGGCCAGGGGGCTCTGAGCTTGGTGGTTATTTATTTATTTTCCCTAATTTGGGCACTGTGCTGTGGTACTCTGGTTTATGGAGCTATTCCAGGGTCCAGAGTGGCTCAGCCAACTGTTTCTTAGTCGTGTGTGTGTGTGTTATAGCATGTATATCGCACATATATAAAAATAAAAAAGGATAAGAAGTGTGGGAGTGATATTAGACTTTCCTGGAGTGAGAATTACTTTTTTTTTTTCTTCTCTCTCTCTCAGAACCAGCATTACTAAGCTTTCTCTAAACCGTTTATTGTTATTTTTATTTTTTAATATTCCTGCTTGTACTTGATTAACCCAAACTCCAAAATAATGTGCAATAGGCATATTTTATAGGAAAATATTGTTTGCATTAGTTTCTGTAAGGAAAACATTAGAAACTGCAGTGAAATAAACAACGTGGATGATAGGAAGCAGCATCATTTGATTTGTCAGGATCCAAATATTCAAGTCACTGCTGCTTAAATTCCTCATTGTGCTGGGGAGCAGGTAGTTACTGGAACTGTTGCTAATTGTTCCTAAACTTGGTCTAGTTTGCCTTATTTTTTGCTTTGCTGTTCCCTATAGGGCCTAACTGTTTTTGAACAGTATTGTACTGATAAAATGGAAATAGCCTGAACAGGCAGATCCTACAAAGCAGGGGAAAATCTTTGCTCTTTCCCCATTGAGTAATATAAGACACAGCTGCAAATGACTTCTATACTAAGACGTGCAGCTTCCTATAGTAAAGGCTTTTTTTTTTTCCTTCAAGTTCACTTACATGATTCAGTAACTTTAGTTGTCAGTGGTTTTATGGTAACCTGCGGCAGGAGTAAATCACATTTCAGTTACTGAGGAAAACTCAGATCAGAAGCTAATGGCATATCTCAAAAGCAAACAAGGCTGGTTATTTATACAAATCTTGCTGGTCAGAGAGTTCTGCTGTATGTTTTACTGGCCAGCTTGGAGCATGTGGCCATGCTTCCGAAAAGAATTTAAAAATGCATCTGAAATGCAATAGAGAAAAATCTGAAAGAACCAAATGCCTTGATGTCTATTTCTTCTGCGTGCTTATTTTTTTCCTCCTCAGTGTTCCGATAAAAATGTAGATACTAAAAAAAAAAAAAAAATCCTAATGTGAGTAAGAGACACCTTTGATTTGAAGGATTTTATTATTATTATTATTAAATGTCATTTACTTATGTCGTCTAGGCACAGAAGGTCCTGGTGTCAGTATCTCAGAGGAGAGACAGAGTCCTGCTGAGAGTAGTGGTGTAAACATCTTTTATAATCCTTATGCTTCGCTTTCTATTGAGCAACAAAGACAAAAGCTACCAGTTTTTAAGGTAAAGAAGTTTTGATTATGTTGAATTTCTTCTGTGGTAGCTGGCTTCTGTAGGTGTTTCTGGAAAAAACAATATAGAATCAGTTTACAGCGTAGAATAATGATTTTTGTGGCGCTGTTCTCTCCGTTTGTTTGAATCAGTCGTCCAGTTTGACAGCTATTACCAAGAGTTTTTTTTAGATTTGATGTTAATTACTATGTGTTTTGCAAACACTGTATATAGATTTTAATGAACTGTTTAACTTTTGACAGTAAACTATGGAAAATTAATTACTGTGTTTGTTGTCTGTATAGATATTGTTCTTTTAATTTATTTTCTTATTTTTATGCAAATCTGCTTTGCATAGGTGATTGTTGTTCTCTCTTTCAGCTAAGAAATCACATACTTTACCTAGTAGAAAACTATCAAACTCTGGTGATTGTTGGGGAAACAGGATGTGGGAAATCAACCCAGATTCCACAGGTAGGTGTGTAGAATTGCCCATTTATTTTGCAAAGAATGTTATGAATTATTGTATTGAAAACAAATAATTCATAAATTCTCTAAGTAACTGCTTTGCCTAAAGTCATCCATCAGTTAGTGTCATAATCACCAAAAAATATGGGGTCTCCAGAACCAGAACCATGCTGTAATCAGAGGATGACTGTTTTCTACCCCTGCTTATTTGTTTGCAGTATCTGGCAGAAGCTGGATGGACGGCCGAAGGGAGAGTTGTTGGGGTGACGCAGCCTCGTCGAGTTGCTGCTGTTACAGTGAGTTTCTCCACGTCTTTTTTTTTTTTTTTTAAGAATTGTCATTATAGCTTCCAATTCAAAACATTTTCTGTTGATTCTCTCTAGATATACTTTTTCAATTTTAGTAAAAAAAAAAAAAAGCAATATCAGATTGAGATTTATTTTATTAGCTGACTAATTTGGTTGTTGCAGAATTAATTTATTATTTATTTATTATTAGTTGAATAAAAATGGAAGAGCTCCTGAATTAGTACACTATTCTGCTTATCCTCTTTGTAGATTTCTGGTGCTAGACACTGAATTCAGCCTGATTAGTAGGTCCTGCCAAAGATGCTAAGTCTGGAATAGCAGATGTAGACGCTTTGAAGTAAAAATAAATTGCATCAGCAGAAATGTGTATAGGAAATTACAGCTGTGTAAGATTGCAGAAAGATTGAGTCTGGACTGTAATTCTGCTCATGTGATCCTTGATTTCCTTCACAAAGTGAAGCAGTGATGTAAATATAAGCACAGTGATATAACAAGTGGAAGAAGCATACATTCTTCTACCAATTCATATCTAATTTCATATGTTTTGCCTTGTAAGAGAAAAGAAGAAATGTTGAGTTTATTATGCTAAGTCTTTGTCCTATAGGTTTCTCAAGTAGATTCATCATGAAACAGATTTGGGAAAACACACTAAAATGTTTAAAAAATAACTACCAATTATGTATTCAGTATAGGAGCAGAATGTGATTGTGAGTCAAGAACAAATAGTTCTTTGGAATCAGTAGTTGTGTTCTTGTTTCCTTTATGTTTCTTTGCAGACCAAAGCAGTGGTACAGTGAGGTTTGCCCCGAGCTGTCTCATCTGTTGTAAGAGGCTCTTTTCTTAGGTTGCAGGCCGAGTTGCTGATGAAAGGGGCGCAGTGCTGGGCCATGAGGTCGGATATTGCATCCGCTTTGATGACTGCACGGATCCACGGGCTACAAGAATTAAGGTGAAATATGAAACAATATTTGTTGAAAACGAAGTTGAAATTTGAACACTCTTAAAGTGTTTCTGCAAAATTAATGCGAGTTTTGTGATGTCAGGTAAAGAGGATAGATAGCATTTCTGTTCTGCAGATGGGTATGCCAAGATCATGCTTAAAATTATCGTGGCTACTTGAACCTTAATAAAGTGAATGTGTTCTGCTAATCTGGTTAAACCTAAAGGAGATGCTCAAGGTTGTCATAGCCAGATACTGCTGCAGCACTAGTGGCAGCTGATCTGCCACTCAGTAATAGCAAAAGGCTGCAGTGAATCAAAGCTAAAGCATCCTCGCCATTCTAAAAATAGATTTTGATTAAAAAAACGTGGATAGAAAAGTAACGGACTGGCTGAAAGTGATCTGATATGGGCTAAAGAGCAGGCTTTGCAGCTGTTCTTTAGCACAGTAAGCAGTTCGTGTTGTTTGTCGTGTACAGATGGGAGCTAGATTTAGTTCCTTTGGAATAGCAATGATGATGACTGAGATTTGCATAATTTACATTTGATTTTTTTTCCCTAAAGCTACCAGTACTTTCTAAAGGGAAGGAAATGGAGATGTTTATTAATTGCAGCTGATTTTTTTTTTTTAGCGTGATGATTCATCATTTGGGCTTGGAAGTTTGGAGAGTTTTTTTTAATCTTCTTCTCCAGTTCCTGCCCTATTCAGGGCCACAGCCTCAGTCCCAGGTCAACAGTAACTATTTTTTGATGGCTCATAAGGTGACTTTATACTGGCTGAAAGTATCAAATTAAAATGATTTTTTTTGTTGTTAAAATGTTTACTTTTCGTGTGTTCTGTAGTCAAATTATACTTAAGTTCCCTTCCTTGAGAGGGTCAGGCATCAGGATCAGTGCAGAGAATGGTATCTGTAGAGCAGGTTTACTCATATTACAGACAAGAGTGAAGAAAGAAACTTTGATTGCCCTGTTTCAGTGTTAGCAGTCTGTTATTTTTTCAATATAAAAATAATTCATTCTCAAAAATTCAAAACTGGTTAAAAAAGGTTACTTTGCTTATCTTCAGGACTAGCAGCCAGAAGTACCTATCTGTCTTCTGTGCTGAAAGCAGATCAATTCAATAGATTATTAGAAAATGAGAGGCGAGAAGAAATTCAGACAAATGTCTAAAAAATAATATGGATAATTAAAACTATCTGTATCTGTTTATTTATTGAGTTATTTTTCATTTTTCTTTGCATTCACTTTTAGTTTCTAACTGATGGTATGCTGGTGAGGGAGATGATGGCCGATCCACTATTAACGAAATACAGGTAAGGAAATGTTGAATAAATGTTTGACGAAGTATATTGTTGGTAAATGGCTAAATTTTATGTATTCGACTGAGGTACGGTCGGTATAAGTTGAAACATAAAGCTTTGAAAATTATTTAAAAACTTGACTTTTTAATGTTTTATAGACTGTTAGTAAATCATTTGGTTATTGCAACACCAAGCCCATTGTGCTGTGGTTTTAGAACAAGAGAGAAACGGGTGGCATGGAGTCTTTTCATTTTTTTTTCTTTTCTTTCTGTTTTTCTTTTCATTTACTAGTTTCCAATTTCTCTTTGTCACGATAGTCAAATTAGAAACAAAAAAAAGGCAACAAGAAGAAGCAATTTTACTTCTGGCATCCAGAAAACCTTTCCAGTGTTGTATAGGTCCTTCTTCCTCCACTCCTGTCCAAAAATAAAGAATAGTAAATACATACTACGGGTACTGTTGTACTATTATTTGCCATTGTCTTGCCTGCTTTGGAAATGGAAAGCTCTGCCTCTCTGCTTTTTTTTTTTTTTTTTAAATTCTCCACTTCTCTTAAAGAATGTTAGCATCCATAGTTCAACATATTTTAAATTGTGGTATTTGAAGAAAATGATTTCAGTGTCAGTCAAACTGAAAGATAAGACTAAAGTCTTATCTTTGTGCTTTATTCACAGTGTCCTCATGCTGGATGAAGCCCATGAAAGGACTCTTTATACAGATATTTCCATTGGCTTATTAAAAAAGGTTATTTCTTTTTAATATCTTTTGTCATCTGTTTATGTTTCCTGCCTTTTCACTAAACCTGTAGCTCAAATGGGTGAGAGATGAATTTCTAGTTCTGCATTTATCCTACAGGTTTTACCTTTTGTTTTCCACATCTGATACTCAGCTCACCCTAAGCCCTTTCCCACCATAGTAGTTTCTCCTCTAGTTAGATGACATTAGCAAAAAGTCAGTCTTCATTTTGCTGATCCTGTGAAGTGATCTGATAGTTATCCATTGTCAGTTTTGAACCTGCCAACAATCTGATTCCCCCCAGGAATTAATAGTAAGATATAATGATTACAGGCTAAATAACATTATTTTTTAACCTTAAATATATAGAAATATATAAAGCTGCACAAATAGTCTCCAAGTTGATAGGTCTGAGTAATATGGATTCATTGGCTGTTTTATGGCAACCAGAGTATTTCTAAAGAGGAGTCACTGGTAGTCTGGGTGCTTTAAAACTTTGTTTCTGGACTTGTATCTCAAAAACATTTTTTACTTTGTATGTTTTTGCTCTGTCTTAGATTCAAAAGAAGCGTGGGGATCTTCGGCTGATTGTAGCTTCTGCCACCTTGGATGCAGAGGTAAGAGGTTTGGTTTGGTTTGAGCTGACGTGACTTCAAATGGCAACTGCACTTGTATTTATGGACACCTTGTCCTTTACATGCTGACTGCTTCTTGTGAAGCGTTACTGTGTTTGAGTGGTGATGTAGACAGTGAGAAACGCAGGAAAGGCTCTGCTGCTGTTAAATTGTTCTGTTCACTTTTTATTTTGTATTGGTGTACCTTGTGAAGGTTACAGTTGACATGAAGCTTGTTACAATTAACGTTAAGAAATACTAATAATTTTACTCATGTTAACTTATGTCTCTATATACCCATTTGCTTAAGAGCAGTAAGTTTACTTCTTTATTGTGCAGAAAATAGAAATCTGCTACTAACTGTTTAACTGATTCTACCTGTTCTTTCTATTGCTATAAAGTACTTAACATACTTAATTACAAGAAATTTAAATGTATGAAGGAGATGTACACAAATTTACAGTCAGCTTAATTGACTTTTTCAGAGATCTCTTTTTGGTAAGAGCTGTAAAATTTACTTAGTCAACTCAACGTGTAAAGGAATATGCAAGCCCTTCCCCAAACCTTTAATAATAATAATTTTGAAGTTCTGCTTACCTTTGAGCTTGCTACTGCTGCAGAAGATCCAATGCAAATAATTATGTATCAGCTTTTTCCAACTGTATCAGCTGATCTAACTAAACACCTCTTTTCTGTCTTTGCTTCTCAAGATGATAAATATGCAAGACAGTCTATTTGTGTTAAATACCTGAATTGCAACCAGAATAAGGTCAACAGAATCTAGCGTCAAAACTTTAAAATCAGAACTTTATCAAAATACTGTTGAATTTACAAAGAGATTATTCAAGTAATACTGATTTGACTTTGTCATGTGTTTATATTTCTCTTTTAATTCTTGAAAGTGTCAAACTGAAAGTGTTTGGTTTTAATATAGAAATTCAGAGACTTCTTTAATCAAAATGAGACCAATGACCCCAGCAAAGATACCAGTGTGATCCTTACTGTGGAGGGGAGAACGTTTCCAGTGGACATCTTTTACATACAGAGGTCTGTTCCTGTTTGGTCTTGTTTGTGGTAATCAGGAGAATGTGTGTCCCTGGTGTCCTTTCAACTAGATAAAAAGCTCAGCAGTTCCCAGAACACAAATGGGGAGGTGTAATATTTAATTTGGGCAATTTAGCCATTCTTTCAAAATACTTTTGGTACCAGCAAAGTAAGTGTGACTTTTTTTTCCCAATTGAAACAACCTTCTGATTTCATGAGGGACAGGAGGAGACCTAGTTACAGAACAGCAGCTTTGGACATTCCTCCTCCTTTTTGCTCATTGACTTAATGCTGTTTTCCTTAAAGGGTGCAGGGACATAACTATAGTTAAGAATTAATAGGGAACTACAAGATCAACTACATTTTAAGGAAAGAGTTGTTCAAACTTAGGTGCATGATACTGAGTCTGGAGCTCCACTCCCATTAACTAGTAAATTGATTATATGAAAGAATAAAATAGATTTATAAATAATTTTTTTTTGATCAAGCTGATGGTTGTAGTGGGGTTTATGTATTTGTAGTAAGCACTTTGAATATTTGCTTTCAAATATAGCATTATATTAAAAAAAAAGAAGCCATGCAGGAGATTGCTTTTAGCGGCTAAACATATGTAAATAAAACTTTTTAAGCTTACAGTGGTGTGAAGGAAACAAATGACTTGCTAAAAGCTGACTCCCAAGGATACACTATGAATTAAATGTGGTTGAATTATAACATTCCCAAATTGTCTCTTTTTTCTTTACTGAAGTGTCTGTGCTTATTTTTTCCTCTAATATCTCTGCTTTTTTATCTTCTTTTTTTTTTTTTTGTACCTCCCTGCAGTCCTGTTCCAGATTATATACAATCAACTGTGGAAACTGTGATGAAAATTCACCAGGCAGAAAACGATGGGGATATTCTAGTATTTTTAACTGGCCAGGTAGACAAAACTGAATTGATAAATACTTTTTTGCTTTACAGTATTGTGGCCTTTTCAAAGCCTTCTTGTCCTCCTGCTTTCCTTAGCTCTGCTACTTTACGCTTATTAAAGACAATGATCCAAATGAGTAGAATTGAGCTAGTCTCAGTGATTTCTAGAAGAAAATAAGTATTAGGATATCAGCTTATCATTCCTCCATCAAGAAGCAAGCTTCCTTCATTGGCTTCACTAGTATCTTGTGTTAAATTCTGTAGGTTTTCAAGAGAAACTCTCCATCCCTCATTACTGATTTGACTTTGAAAGAGTAAATTAAATACCTGAGGAGATGGTGTCTAAAAGTTTTGTTGTCTCTGTTTAAGGATGAAATATCTCAGGTGGTCTCTGAGATTAAATATGGATTTGAACAGCAGATGTTAATGCTGCTACTGTGTCGTTCTTGGCCTAGACACACAGCTTTCTGCACAATCAAAATAGATCGGCCTTTCACTTTGTTATCACAGCTTAGAGATGCATAGGAAAACACTCCTGCTTCCTTCTTACAGAACTTGCTGTCCAGTCCTTTCTTGGTGATTTTTCTCATGCATTAGTGGAGTGTGATGCTGTTTCAAATAACATGGAATGTAAATATATAAGAATGTATTCATCTAAATAACAAATTATATAGAGTATTGAGGGAGCAACTCCAAAGATCCATTAAAATTGTATCAAGATTATTATTTTGTATTTTTTTGTTTATCTTGCCTTTTGATTTGGTTGTAGGAGGAAGTGGAAACTGTTGTTTCTATGCTAATAGAACAGGCTCGGGCCCTGTCTCGCACTGGAATGAAGAAGCACCTCCGTATTCTCCCTATGTATGCTGGCCTGCCTTCTGTTGAGCAAATGAAGGTGTTTGAGAGAGTTTCTCGCAGTGTCAGAAAGGTAGGGCTGCTGTGCACTCCAGAAATCTGCTTTTTACAGATTTTGTATATGACATTCGTATCATGAAACTATTGCAAACTCTGTTTTGGATGAAAAGGTGGATTATATGGGTCTCTTAATACTGTGTGTGTGTCACTTTTTGTAAAGTGAAACTCGTTATCTAACAACATCTTTTTCCTGGCTTTGCTCTTCATTTTTGTTTAGGTCTCCATGTCAGGTTTTACACCTGCTGGACTCTGAGTAACAAAATTGTCCACCTGGTGTTGGAGGATGTTGAGTGATAAAGAAAATACTACTTTTTTCCTTCAGGATATGTCATTAATCAATAAACTTCCAAGACTTACCTTTTTAATTTCAAGTGAAATTCCCTGTTTTTCTTGCAACAGTTGGAATTAAAAATCTGCCACAGTGCCCCACTCCGTTGTTGCAAATGTGTTTAAAAATATAGCTGGGAAGCAGAAAGAAGCTCTTCTTACTTTTATGTGGCTGCATGAGAACACTTGATTTTCAATCAGATTATGGTTTCTCTGCAAAGACAGCCAAGTTCTTCCACTTTTACAAAGAGAATAAATTTGAATAAAAAAGTGGTGGTGAAACCGTGGAAATTGGGCTCATTTTGAATTGACAACTGCTGCATGTTCTGTGTCTTTTTTTGTACTCCAGAGCGTGATTACTGGGGCTGTCATATCTAAGATCTGTTAGGTGGCTTCTGTTTGAGTCCTGGCGCACTGATGCGACGGCTCGTTAGTGTCCTGGTGATTGGAGGGTTCACTGTGTCCTGGTGTCTGGGTCTGCAGGTCATCGTAGCCACCAACATTGCTGAGACCTCTATCACAGTGCATGGAATCACGTTCGTAATTGACTGTGGTTTTGTGAAGCTTCGGGCCTACAATCCAAAAACAGCCATCGAGTGCCTTGTGGTGGTACCAGTATCCAAAGCTTCAGCTAATCAGAGAGCAGGACGTGCGGGCCGGAACCGTTCTGGAAAATGTTACAGACTTTATACAGGTGAGTGATTTGATGTGCAGAGAACTTGCTCTTGTGAGACTAGAGTTTTGTTTTACAGTATTTTTAGGACAACATTAAGGACAACATAAATGCATTTCCATTTTTACTTCGAGCAGCAGATTAATAATTTTGCCAGAGTGAGGCAAAATTGCATTGTTTAGAAATGCATTGCTCACATGGCTTGTGTTTGTGTTTCATAAAATGTTTCTTATGCTTAACACGAGTGGGAGAGGTACTGTGAGGCTGGCAGCAATTGTAAGGCTGTCATGGTGATACAGCTCTTAGTGGCAAATCTGCAAAGTATGTTTGTCTTTTATGATGCTTTTGGTTTCTGAGTGTTTACTCAATTACTTCAATTTGCACTACCCACCTATAATACACTGTAGTATGAATCAAGTCTCCTTTAGAGTGCGTGTCTAAAAGAGAAATCTGGAAAATCTTCAAACTATTGAGGAAAACTTCCTCTTTTTGTGTTTCCTCTTAGCAATAGGTGCAGATACTTCCCTTGAACTGATAGGGCTGGTGCTGTACAAAAATAACTGCTATAAATGAATCTGTCAGGCGTCTGGTAATGTTCAGAAAGTTGCAATGCAACTTCAGCACCTCCTTTAATTAGAGAATGCTTTACAGTAGAGCAGTGCGATCGTGTCTATGGCTCAGGTTGCCTTTGCTTGTGCTGGAGCTTTGAAACTTCGCGATCAAGTGTGCTGAGCACCTCTACTTTGGCACATACTTTGTTTCCAACCTCATTTTCTGTGAATAATTATTTAAAAACAATATTCTTACAGTGAAAATACGCTCAGTTTCTAGTTTTGTCTCCTCTTTAAAAAAACTTTTGTAATATTTGCACACTGCATTTCATTTGCATGATAAAAATATCAAACTCATAGAAGAAAAAACATTTTCAGATTTTGTGATGAATGTACAAGATTTCAAATTAATATGTGGCTCAACTGCAGAGTCAATGTAGAAGAACATTTCCTGTTGAAATTATGCATTAAAGTTCAAATAACTTAAAATATAGCAATTGAAGAAACCTCATCTTTGGGTTGCAGTATTTTTAACACCTTTTAAGTATTTGTATTTCATTTTTCTAAATTGAAATGAGTACAGTACTATCATGTTGACTGCATGTAAAGGAAGCTGAAACCCAATCCTGAATAGCCTTTTTTCCCCAACAGAGGAAGACTTTGAGAAGTTGCCACAGTCTACTGTACCCGAGATGCAGCGCAGTAACCTCGCTCCTGTCATCTTGCAGCTGAAGGCTTTGGGAATTGATAACGTGCTCAGGTTCCCCTTTCTTTCGGTGAGTCTTAGGCAGTGGAATCTGTCCTCCTTTAGCGAGCTGGAGGATCACGAGAAGTCTTGCTTATAACCCTTGGAGTAATTAGGCAATAACCATTGTCCTATTACTTTCAAATATGAACCTCATGGGCCACTATCTGGTAGTAAAGTAGCTTTCTGTGAATCAGCTTGTGCAAATAACATTTGTGACAATTTAGAAATAGTGAGAATTTACATTCTAAAATTTCTGTGAAGTGTCAAGAATGAATTTTCAAAAAATAT